ACTCTTGAAGACGTGTGAGCCGTCTGCTCACGTCTGCCCTCCGCTCTCGACCAGGTCTCAGCGCTGTCTGGGATTATTCTTACTACGCTGGGTGATGCTATACTGATGACGTCATAATCCTGGTATTCTAATTCAGCATTGGACATTGATGACTCCCACAGTATTTGTCTCATCTGGAGAATTATATCTGCGAATGTCAATACGAGTCATGACCAATTCGAGATTCAAATCATGAACTGGCAAGAGCAGGAACTTTTCCCCTGCTGAGTTGCTGTATACTCACCGAAGTAGCAACATTCCGTAGAAGCGCTCAGAACGGTTCTGCGAGTTCTGCTTTCTGGCCATGTCGTTGCTTTAAGTCTACCTCACTATGTCCGGCCGTAGTCTTACGTGCATGTTAGGTTTCATCGGTGAAGTTTAAATAAGGTCCAATTCCGTTAGCTATTTCTGTACAGCTCTGTAAGTTATCGTTAGAATTTACTAACAAGGAACTTAATAACTTGTTACTTTCTTATTTTTTATCTTACGTTAAAGCCCAAGTGGAGGCTTTCTAGTAAGCCCGAGAGAGGGACGACTGTTATTATTCTTTGAGTTGATTAAAAGGGTATTTTAAACTTTCTTTGGGTTTGTTTCTATATTTGTAAGAAAGAACAGCAAATAGTCACTATGCGCTTCACTAGTTTTAGTTGCTATAAACTAAATTATGATATATCAGATTTCTATAATATGTAGTAATTAATTATTTGCTCCGTGTGTAGTACGTGTAACTGTAATATATTTTCCATGGATATGATCATTAATACAAGACAGAAGTCACTATAAGTCAGGAGATAAATACGAATTTCATTTGTGTATGTTAAATATACATCATTTCCATGTGAATAAAATTATAGATTTTTTTGGAAGTTGCATTACATTATTGAAAAGAGTAGGAACTTAAGAGTAGTAACTTGTTGTTGTTGTCGTGTCTATGACAAAGTGCAATTTATCATAAAGTAGGAATCCTGCTCTTGAAATTGTTATTTAACTTCTAGAAATAGAAATTTTCGAGATTTCAGTAAAATTCGATTATGATTACAGTATAATGCAACTTAAATAATTTCAGAAGGATCAGTTTAATTCTAATAATTATTTTCTAATAGTTATCTTAATACCAGAAGTTTAAACTGGTGTTTGAATAATGCTTTCAGATCAACAGCAAACAATAAATTAAAATTAATTTTCCAGTTTTAATTTGAAATATGCATTTGCTATGAAATCTTGATTACATATGTTATTGATTATTCAACTTTCATAGACACCTTTGAAATCTCCGAGAAATATTTGGCAATACAGTACAGGAATAGAAGACGCAAAAGCAACTTTTCAAAATCTTCAGAACGTTCTTATGTATAAATGTAAACCATTGCAGACTTGATATATAATTTAAACATCAGTTAAACAAATGAGCCATAATCCAAGCCAAATATAAGCCCTCTAATAAAAGAAATGCGATGTGTTAAATTGAGAACACAGTTAGAATTCCAGTGAAAGTACAGATATATTAAAAGTTCTGAAAGATGAAAATATGCTTTTTTCACAAAATATATCACATTTATTATTTTTTCGACGAATACAGTTAATCCAAGAGGCAGATTCACAGGTGATATGTAGTACAGTTTCACTGCACATATGAAAATTCTACACTCATATACCTGTCATGTTACATTGGGAAGGAGCCATTCCGATACTGCCTTGATACAGGCAATAATAAATTTTAGGACGTTTTATTTTTCACAAATTGTTTTATATTGAAATATTAGAGGCAGCTGATGTCATAAATAAAATAAAATAAAATAATCATAAAATAAAATTAATGTCAAATATAGATTCAGATTATATTATACTGGAATAATACATACCGTTGAGATCGGAACAAAATAAATTTAATGTTAACTATAAATTCCGATTACATACTTCAAAGATTCTCAACAAACATTGTTTAGTATTGTTTAGTTATGCCTCTTACGCCTTTACATTAGAGTTAAAATATATCTATAGGTATATTTTCCAAGACAAAAAAAGCACCGGTTAACATAGGATAGATAATTACTTTTTATTCAGTTTCACATTATTTAATCATATTACTGTTATGAAATAGATATCACTCTTTATTTAACTACCAACATGGAACTTTAACCCGATAGTTAAATATTTTTTTCAATTTAAAATTATTTAATCATATTAGTTTTAATAAGAGCCTTTTCAGTTTTACAGTTCTGCCTCCACTCTATCAGGAGAAAAACTCCCCTCAAGTTGACTCCGACGGGGTTCATTCTTCCGCAGACTAGTACTAACGAAGAGTCCCCATAACTGGCAGAAAATACTTTTTCTAACTCATGAGATTTCTTGAAAAGAGTAAAAAATTTTTAATTTGTAGTGAATTCTCAGTCATCAGCCTCAGGCCCGGCTACTTCTTTCGACGCAGTCAACTGGCCTCCCGGAGCGTAATTCGTAATTGCATAGCGGTACTGCGACCGAAGGGGTACGGGACAGTGGACTTCTGTTTATTTTATGTTATGTTGCGTGATCTATGTCCCGTTTTAAATAAAACTGTTGCAGTGTTTCTCAAGCCCAATATAAAATTATTAAAACATCTTAGATTCTTGTGTGAAAACTTTCAATTAGACCAAATTTAAGTAATTGTGAAAACTCACTATCTGGTTGAATGAATTTGAAATAAACACAAATACATGTTTATACTGCGAAACAAATGCAAAATAAAATGTAAAGGATAGGTTTCAAAGGATTCGATGTCACAAGAACAGTAGAATCCCATCGGTCAGCATTCGGAGCGCCACCCATGGTTGCGATGTCGATGTACATTTAAGAATTATGCCTCCCGGATCCATGTTTTTCCTTTCATCCGGCCTTCTTCAAAGATGAATTTCCAACATCTTGCTCCAGTCTCTAAGCATCAAATATCACCTCTCTGGCGAAGAATCCAGCGACCACACTTTGTTATAAAGCCCAAAACGTCATCTTCCTAAGCCAATGATACCAAAGACGTCAAATATTTGATGAGCGTCTCCTCTCTAAAACTATTAAAACTGCAGAAATTACTAAGGCAAGTCCTTGAGTCAGAAGGTTAGCAAGTTGTAATGCACGAAGAGTCACGTCAACCTTTTCCAACGGCCCTGTTATGGTAAATATTTAGTAAATATATTCTTTATGATAGCCTCGCAGTCACGAAGGAAGTCCCGCCTATGTTAAGCGAGGGCAGTTAACAATTAAGCGACCGCCATTTCCTCGAAAATCGATTTCAAAATAGGTCTAGAAGTAAAGTTCCAATACCAACATTTTTGGAGTAAGAAACACAAATCATAATGTATTACATTATTTTTAATGATCAATCACCTTAACATTTGCCTAAAATTTTCATCATGGCTACTAGGTGGTGTAATATCAGAAATAGACATAAATTAAAAACTCTCTACTAAAGGAACGGAGGAAAAAATGAAATTAGCAGAATTAGTTACGAATTAAGTATAATAAATTAATTAAGTATAAACACCATTGAATGGAAAACAAAGGAATAAAATAAAAAAAGAAGTAAATAATCACGAGGGTAATAGCGTAATAGCATATCTTGCCGAAAACTATCAATGCAGGAAATGATCAAAAATGTAATTCGAAATAATACTTGCGAGGGAAAGAAATCCATTTAAGAAAACAAGATTAAAATACTAATTTCATTAAAAGTACAATTTAGGTTTTTTCATCAAAAGTTCTTTAAAGCATTATAAATTTCCCATTTTAAGCATATTACAATTACAACTCAAATAAGAAAAATTCTTAACATACTTAAGTGAAACCTTAAGGAACATCTTTAAGTAAAATCCTTAATTTTTTGAGAGCAACCAAAATTTGAAATTAAAATTATTATCTTAGAATTTGGCATTAAAATGAAAGACATTATTAAAAATTAGTAATTAGAAATCAAGCAAATTACATAATAATGTTCTCTCTAGCAGTCGGTAGTTTATTCTTCTCAAGGTTTGCATATTTTTTATTAGTCATAGATTTCCCTTACCCTACTCTTATTATTGCACGTTCTTTTCTTTAACACAATCTATTTCAATCGTTCATCCAGGACTTATGAGATGCTTTACATAGATGTTATTCATAATTATAAATTCTAAATGCGAAAGATTTATACTTTCTACTAAATAGAAGCACGCTAATTACATCTAAACGCTTAGAAATCTATCAAATAGCGAAATGTATCCTGTAAGGATATTATTGTTAAGCATGTCTCTAAACGCAGCATATTTGTGAACGACAAACACATAAACATAAAAAAAGAGACAGCATATTGATAATAATTTCTCAAAATCAATAGTTACGGATTTAAAGGAAACCTAAAATATATCTGATTAAATTTTGGTAAATTTTTCAATGAATCGACAAAGCTTTATCAAAGAACTAGAAATCAATGAAAATTTAATTTATATTTATTAGAAAAATTAAAAACACTGGAGCAAATCTTTTCATATTTTTAAAATTGATAATACATTTTTACTTTGTTAGCATAAATTATATTATCTATACATGTAAAGAAGGAAGTTTGTTTGTTTGTTGTCCTTTAATAACTATCGTCGCCAAACTTTGTACGGTTCTTTTCTGAGTCTTGGAACAAGTCAACGTGCACCTTCTTCCCCCCCCAACAAAACTGATGTGTACACTACATGACTTCCTTGAACGGAATATTAAATTATACGCATTTTTTCTTGCATTTCATTTAAACTTATTGGATTGAATTAAATCGACTTCGTCGATAGCGCATAAACCACAATAGAATAAATGCGTTCTTTAAAATTCACTATATTTGTTTACCATACCATAGCGACATTCTTTAGAAGACTCAATTGAGTCGATTGTCCAAATATCAATGCCAGTTTTCCCGATAATCAAAGTTCAACAGTATTTATATTAATTTGCTTTTCGATAATTTTCCATAGGCATATCAGTCGTGGGTGAAAGATCACAAAAGGGAACAAAAGCTGCCTGGATTGGATTATACACCGAATCAGTTGTTCTGGATACAAGCAGCGAACGTAAGTTTTGAATTTCCCATGACCCCATCTAAATATTCTTTGATAGTTTATTGCCTGATGCGAGGGAAATATTGCCCGATGTTGTCCTGAATCATGTTTAAATATTCGACATTAAAAAATTAACTATATTTTTTAAAAATACTATATATTAATTAAATACGTGATCATAAACATGAAGCTAAAATATAATTTAAAAATGGAATATATATATTAAAATTAATTTCAGCCAACAAAAGTATAGGAAGGTTTTTATTAGTGCTTCAAGAAATGCCGTTTTCATTTGATATCTTAAGACATTTATATCTTTTTCATTCTTAATTTGCGAGATTAAAGGGTGCTACTTTGGTAGACGGTTGCACGGATTTTTTGGTGATTTACTTTGGCGCAATTGTTGGCGCGGTTTTTACAATTGTCAGCGGTTTTTACAATCGTCAATATAATCGGTGTTTACAATGCGCAATATACGTAAAAACGCTGTTTTTTTAACAGCGTACGTATATTTTACGTATATTGCGCTTAGTAAAGTATTCGAAACTTTAAAAAAATAAATATCGTTAAAAATAATGGATTAATTTTTCATTGAAAACTGTTTTTTTAAGATGGAAAGTAAATGTAAATAAATAAATTTACTACGAGTATAAAATACTAAAGAAAGGTTAAATTATTACTTTCATATAGCACAGAAATAGAATAGAAGCACCGCTATAAAAACATTGTGCCAACGTTTAATTGGATTAAAATATTACGTAGATTGAATAGCGAATTTAAAACTATCATACCAACGTTTGAAAGAATTAAAATATGACTTAAATTCAAATACTTTAAAATAAGTAAATAAGAACGCTTCATACACTAGAGCTAAGATTATTAAGCAATTAAATTATTGCCGGTAAAAAAGGAGGAATGTATACTTTTTGTACCGTTTCAGCTGTTATTTCTTCCACCATGACCAAAAATACCATATACGGCCGTCCTCAGAATCGCCTCTTCTAACGATCTTCATCTGTGATCCACATTTCTCGCACTTCATTGAAGAAGCGATTAGCAAGGTTTCCTTCAAAAATTAAAAAAAAATTCCGCTAACCCTTGTAATAATTTATAAATAAGTCTTTGATTAGGAAAGCCAGCTTGGCCAAAATAAGGTCTCAAAGGACAATGTTTTTGATTCCGATACCAATAATTCTTGGTTTACCAATAGCAACATTAATCTTTGATAGGGACATATCCGTTTCCTATGAAATCTAAGGAATTCGAAGAGAGGAATAATACAATTTTAAAATGGCGCGGTAATGCACAAATATTTAACCAATCAGAGAACTGATTACATCACGCCTTGAATTAAAATTATTTAAATAACCATACATAATAAAATCATTTAAAAAAATGCAAAATTAAATTGTATTTTAATATTTGAGACCCATAAATAATGTTTAAACATTAGATTAAATTTATATATATTAAAACCAATTGCTTTTAAAGCAAGGTGACGTCATTAATTACATCATCCACAACATAAATTATATAAAATATCATACGAAATAAAATTTTTATTTCAAATAAAAATGCAAAATTAAATTGTTTTTTTTTAATATTTAGAAGCCATAAATATTATTTAAAACACGTAATTTATGCATAATAAAACGCATTATTTTTTTAATAAAATGACAACAAAGTATCGGTAGCCATTAATAACTTGTCCAGCAATGGGTTTACCATAGGTCGTATCGCCAAAAAAAAAAAAAAAAAATCGCCAAAATCCGTGCAACCGTCTACTAAAGTAGCACCGATTAAGGCTTCTAAAAGACATATATTTGGTAAAGCAACTTTTTCCTAATATTTAATTTTGGATGGTAGCCTTTGCAAACAGAAATCACGTAATGGGATCGAAATACAAATCCCAAAAAGTCCATTTGGTTATCTGATAATAATTTTATTAGGAACAATAACTACGATCACCGTTTCTATTTATTTCCATTTAACTTAACTTCTATTGATTAATATTTATGTTATCAGAAGACTAAATGTTTTTCTATTATTTCATTAAGTTCTTAATCATGTGAATTATATCATAAAGAAGATTAAAAAATATCCTAAAATATATAATCGACTGTATGCAGATATTATGTCGTATTTGCAGACGAGCTCTATGTTGAAGAAGCACTATGTGTAAGTTGTGACTTCTCGAGTAGCAGAAGTCCGATTCAAAAGGGGAAACAATATGAATTGAAGGTGAATTTCTTCTCATTAGCCAGATTAACTGTCCGCTAAATTTTCATTCAGTAAATGCTGATCAAATGTTAGTTTTCGGAGAATTCCCCAAGATTAAAGCAGAAATATTTATTCCATTGGTGTTTCGCATAACGAATGCTTGGCACAATTAACGTTACGGATAAACACGAGCATGGCCAAAAAAAATCCTGCATAACGAATCGGTCTCACATTACACATCGCAATACGACGAAATGGGAGTTCTTTTAAATTCTACTCAACATAAACTGTGTAAAAACAGAAGAAGAATAGTTTGACTGGGCACAAATACATTCAAGGGTATACCAGTCCTCCTTTTTTACAACTACGTTAGTGCAGATTTGAAAGAAAAACCTCTATTATTTTATGACGCGCAGAAATCCAGTATTTTAAGAAACATATTATTAAATCAAGGCTGTTTATACTGTGGAGATGTAAGAAAACAGTGTAGGTAATCCTATTGATTTTGAGGAGCTAAAGGTGGGAGTTCTTTGGTTCAAAAGTATTTGGATTTAGAAAGGCTTGTTATGCAACAAAGAAAGAAATTGAAGAAAGAGAGGAATAATTAACCCTAAAAAAATCGGTCAAAAAGGACTAAAATCGCATGGGATGAGGAAGTGTACATTAGTAAAATAACAATAAATTACTTTCCTATTCCAGAATAACCTATTCCAGAATTCCGTTCTAGGAACAGCTGTCTTAGGTTTAAGTGTTCTCTTCAGGATTCAGGCTCCTTTCAATTCCTGAAGTATAGCGTCTTAGAGTATTTCCTGAAGTATAGCGAACTTGAAAGTTATGTTATTTCAGATATTATTATATTATTCAAGATTTATAAGATAACTTTGATGTTTTGAAAGACATCAGAATGATCCAGAAGGAATGTTTTGAACTTTGATTTTGTGACAGGCATCAGAAGGATCCAGAAGGAATGTTTTGAAGTCATTCAGAAAATATTTAGCTGAACTTGAAGTAGCTTGTTTCCTGACTGCCTTCAGTCTGAAATGCTGCATAATGATGTCGTTGTGAAGCTAATTGTTTTCAAAGCATTGAATATAGATAAGGCGGAAGGAGCTGCTAAGAAGAGCTCCGAAATCAGTGCAATTCGTTCTTTGGGCAATAAGGAAATGTAGATAGAAATTTATTCTCGGGAAGAGAAGAGAAAGCAAAGGAACCAATGCCTATATACTAGCCTCAGGAAGCTTCTAAAAGCGAGGAAAGACAAGCTGAAGTCAAACGAGAACACTTTTTAAACACTTTTTGAAAACACCTCCAAACTCGCAAAAATTCAGAGATAGGTATTCAAAATCATAGACAGCTATCTTCCACCTAGAGCGGAAGATAAAGAAGATTCTCACTGAACTGAACTGAAAAGGATTATTATTGTAGCTTCCCATCCCCGTGAAGTTGATTATTACTCTCTGAAATGCGTTCTGATTCCTTTATGAATATCCATTAATAGCTTGAATGCATGTTCAAAAATCCTCTAGTGACGAATTGTCCGAAAACATAGGTAGTTTTATCTCCTATTCGATGCTTAACAGTGATTTATTATTCAATGAAAATAATAGCGTTGTTCTAAGAAAGCTTTATCAAACATGTTTCAAAATCATTATTTGTTTATTTCTCAATTTGTTTTAACAATCCCTTTATTTTCATAAATATAATATTTGTAGTTTGATGATTTTTAAAACCACCTATTTAAAAAAAATATTATTTATCTTTCACAGTGATTAGGTTTTAAAGGCCGCTTAGATATCTTTAGACTTTCTGATATTGGAAACATAAAAACCAGAAATTGAAATAATTTGTTAATTATTTAGTAATCAAAAAAGTAAATTTATGAATACTCACTTCAAACAAGCGACAGCATTTCCAAGTTAGATATGAGTCTTTTGCCAAGAATGATATGAGAATATGCCAAACCTGAAGTGATCTAGAAAATTTTTGTCTTGTTACACGTGGCAAAGTAGAAGATAACAACGCAATTCTTTAGTAAAATTACTAATTCTGCAAAAATAATGAGGCCTACAGTAAACCAATTTTCAGTAATTAAATGATTTCTTCAAAAGTAAGAAATAAAAGAATTTTAATCATCGCAACCTGTTCACCTAACAACAGTAGCTATTATTTTTTCTTTATTTTTGCCTAGTGGTTTGTGAATGGGGAATATATTAGTTCGAGTATAATTCAGTAATTATATTGTGAAAAGTCGAAGTTCTAGCCGATTAAATAAGAACGTAATTTCGCTTCACGGGGATGGGAGGCCATTTATACTCTACTACTACAACAAAAAAAAATTCAATTAAGGGAAAAAAGTTACTGTTCTAAAGCTAACGGAATCTGTCAATCCAATAAAACGCAAATTATTCTAAAGCTTAGTAGAAATGACAGAAAACAGGTTTTTAGATCCTCTGGTATTATTTCTGCAACAAGCCTCATTATTAATAATAATAATTATATTTTAATTATTATTATTAATAATGAGGTTTGTTGTGTAACCGAATTGTTAGTTTAGTTAAAAGCAAATAAATAAATATCAGTATTTCAAGGAAAGCTGAACTTGTTGAGTAAGTAGCTAACTAAGAACTACTTAGCTTGCTAAAGGTTTTATTAGCAAAATAACCAAAATGCCTAGGTCGGCCAGAAATGTCACCAAATAAAATAAAAAAAAGACCACCAAGCCCTGTGAAAATTCACCTAAATCACCTATTATATTTTCAAATAAGAAAGAGGAATTTTTTAAGACCAAAAGTCCCTCTGGTGATTTCTCATATATTTGAAGATAATTAAATGGTTATACGAATAAAAATAGTTTCTGTGCTTTTATAATTTTGATTTAATTTATGCTATATTTACTAGTCTAAATGCAGCACGCTTGTAAGTATTATATTAAAAATTGTTTCAGATATGGTGCGAGAAATTACAACCTGAAACTCTGAGAAATATCATTACCTATGCTCCTTATAGCCCATCCAAGTTCAGGTGAGAGGAATCAGAATTTTATTTTAAATAATAGAAATTTCTTTGGAATGAAAACATCTGTAGTTGCTTAGACAGAAAAATTATTATATATTTAATATCTAAGATATGCGTTTCCATTTAAAATACTTAACGCTCCATTAATCAATAAGTATACATCAATACGTTAAATGAACTTCATCCGAAAAGGATAGCATTTCGCAACTAAAATTTACGTAATGCTTCTAAATATGTATTTTACCTTATTACTAAATAAAATTATTTAAAATACATTAAGTCCGTTCATGATATATTTGCCGTGTTCATGGCAGTAAAGAAGAATGTAACTAAAATTGATATTTCATAAGTTCAGTAAATCCTGCTGTACAATTCAGTTTTAAACTTGAAGCATTATATTCCTTCAATGACATTCTAATCAAATCAATTTAGTTTAATTTCAGTACTAATGTGCATCATAATTCTGCTTCGGTTTATCTTTCCTTCGCTATAAATCTTATAACTCAGTTAATTTCATTTCTTAATATTCTTTTGCTTACCTCATACTTGAACCTCCCACATTTTGCCCCTTCTTTAAATCAGGTGTAAATCAAGAACTGTAATATTTAAGATCGTTTGTAATTGATAACTGAGGTTTTACCTATTAATTGACATAGTTAGCTTCAGCAAAGTTGTAGAAATGCACAATTTATTTATGATATTAACCTTTTGACTACTAACAGGACATATATGAATTACTAAAAGTTTCAAAATTCCTGCTGGGTCAAAAAGTACTTAGAATCTCCTAAATGCTTAGGATCATCTTCGAATAGTTGGAAAATCAAGACGCCGCTATGCTCTTTGTACACAACTGAACATGGAGAAAAGAACAAATATGTGTTGCCTAATGTGTAATGTTAGGTTATGCAAAGAATTCTTTACCCTAAATCTATTTCATAAGTTTTCCAGAATAAAAGATGTGCTAATAATAAGTAAATCATTACGTGTGGGACATTATTTATCCTACCATTAACTACGGCTGGGACTTATGTGTCCCAGCCTTTGGCTTGAAAACCGTTTGCGCCCCAAAATATCCCAGATGCTAAATTTACCTTATTTATGACATATTTTGTTCACTGGGATAGAAAACGGGGTAATAAGTTTTCAATTCGCAGTCAAAGGGCTAACTTATATCGAAAACAGCACAGATCATGGTGAGTATGCGCTTGTACTAATTGAATCTGACAAACTATTCCATCTTCAGAGTGTTTGTCCTGTGACTGAACATCTTCAGTAATTATTGTTGCCATTGTTCGCAACCTTAGTTGATACAGAAAGTGCTGCTAGAACTTCTAAATTTTAGTATTTCGTGTTCCAATATCTTTTTTGAGTAACCCAACTAATATCAAAATAAAAAAAATCTCAGTGTTACTATAAATTAATCGTAATCTACAGAAATGAATTAAATATTTGTCATCTCTTTCAGAGTGATAGGACCAATGTCTAATCTACCAGAATTTGCTAAAGACTTTCAGTGCAATGTAACTTCTGAAATGGTGCGAAAAAACAAGTGTCAGGTTTGGTAGAGAAGTCAGCTCAAAATTTAATTTTAGAAAAGGATATGCTATGTCTTTATATTAATACTATTGATTAGCTGTTATTAATAATGTAAGGATTGTGTGCAAGGATTTTATATGTAAAATTTTATATGATTTTACATTTAATAGCATTTTTTACCTAAATAAAGTGCTGAAATTCCTGTTATCATGATTTTTGTAATACTAATTTATACATATCTAATCATGACAAAAAAGTTTCAAATTTCACAAACATTTCGTATAATAAAGAAACCATTTACACAATTACAAAAAAAAAAAAAAAAAAGTGATAAAATAGATAAACCTGAAACGTCCCTAGAGAACGTTCCTAAAGACTATTTAGCAAAGCATCATCTTTCTGAATCTACAGCGTAACTTGAGTAAATATTCAGGATTGTAGTTTCAAAGGTTCGACAAAATCGTTCCCTTAAGCTGCAGGAACGAAAATGACGACAAAGAAATTTCTGCTGAAGTGATGACAACAAAAACAAAATCGAAAACCTTCCAGCTAAGGAAAATAAGAAACATCAGTGATATTAGCTCTTGACAAAAACGTGAAAGGAAAGCAAAATTTAAAGGTATTTATGAATCTGAAACTCTTCTAATAAATAAAATTTGCAAATCGAAGATGTGTTTTAGATAAACTGTGTTAGAGGAAAGCAAACTGCTATTTTTTTACTAACAGTGTTAGACAGTGGAGGATTTATAAGTTTGTTTTTTATATAACATATGTCTCATGCCCCTTAGTATGAAATTTCAAGGCTCTCCTTGTTTAACTTATGTACACTGACGGAAAAAATTAAAGAAAAACAGTAAAAAGATGCTTTAAGTTAAATATATTAGAACTCCAGTGAAACGTGTTGGCTGGTAGCTCATGATGAGTATTATGTAATCCGAAAGGAATTATTTTTCGCTAAATATAACACTGCAATTTTTTTAAAAATTTGACGACATGTAAAGCTTAAAAATACAGATAATATATAAGAGAGTGTTTTGAAGTCTATGTTTCAATATTTTGCAGAAGATCTATGCTAATATATATCAAAAATACAAGTATCCGAAAGCAAAAGTGAGCCACTATAAATGCGTATGTAATTTTTGAGTTTTGGAAAGGTGAGGGAAAATGATCTTCCAGTAGTGTCGTGAAAGAGTGCATGGAGCAAAACAGGTTGAGAACCACTTCCCTAAAAATCAACTCCAGGAATGGCCATTTTAGGAACGTGTACTGTATTTTAAATAAAGAAACTCAGGTCTTAAGGAGGTTCATACACCTTAAATCCCTTATGATCTTCGAATTATATGACTGTTGCAAGAATTGAGATATTTTATTTATTTTGAAAGAAAGTACTTTCAACTTTTTACAGCTGAATACATAATATAGCTGCTTTGGAAACTAGTAACCAGAAAGTTTATGTTGCCACAAATATTTTTGTAATTTAATCCGCTTTGTGGCAAAATTTTTCGTCATGTTTCCACTTTGCGCGCATGATATTTTAAACGTGGATAATGGTACATACTTGAAAATTGATAGAATTCTTTATATGGGCACTATGTTGTAACTGAACCAAAAATTTGACAAATATTGTAATATTAAAAAATTTTATGCACGAAAAAATTACAGATTTTTTTTAATAAAATACATTTTATAAACTGAATAAAAATTTTAAAATAAAAATTTAACATGAAATTCTTAGAATTTTTGGTTCACAGTAGTTTCCAAATGTTATGAAAGCTATGTATTAAATATGGAATTAAATTATGAAACAAAATCTTTTAAGCTGTGCGCGCAAGGTGGAAACATGACGAAACATTTTGTCGCAAAGCGGATTAAATTATAAAAATATTTGTAGCAACACAAACTTTCTGATTACTATTTCAGAAAGCAGCTATATTATGTAGTCAGCCGTAAAATGTTGGAAGTAAGTGCTTCTAAATAAATAATTTATCTCAATTCTTGCAACAGTCACATATTCGAAAACCTTATGGGTTTTATAGTGTACGAGTCCCTTTAAAAGAAAGTCAACTAACGCAAAAAATATTGCAATCATTTTGCATACATCTTCCTCGATACTAAATAAAACAAATGTTTAAATATTGAAAATACTAATTTGATTATGCTCATTGATTTTGCATAGGCTCGTGACTAAACTCGAGTCATTTTCATAATTTCTTACAAAACAATTTAACTGGAGAAATATATAAATATGCCATTTGTGATGAAGCAAGAATTTATTTAAAGAACTACAATAAAAAATAAGTTTTTGTTCCTGATTTGAGGAAAAAATTTACAGATCCGGTTGTGAAAATTTAGGATAGTCTCTGAGAAAACAGCATTCTCCAGAGCATCAATGCTCATGAATATTCTGAGCTTATTATCTGAAGCTCTCTACTGCTACTATAATTTCTCAGAAGAGAGCTTTTCCATTTGTTACAAGTTACAGAGTTAAGAGTGTGTGGTCTTAAAATGTTTCAAGTTATTGAATATATCTTGTGTGTGAAGAAAATTATTCTTATAATGTGCACAAATTGTAAAATATGATAAAAAACGACGATTGCCTGGAAGAATTATTTAATCCCATTTTACAGGTATCTAATATATTTCAATCCCGCACACATTTGTCAAATTATTCAAGAAATGACGTGTTTGTAATGGAAAAACAATCATGAATAAACTGTAATCTGTCTACAGGCTATATTTGATAGAGAGTTCAATTTTGTATAGTGCATATTAAATGTCAAAGAGCAAACTGAATATATAATGATTTGGAGTCCTTCCTTCTCCACATGCAGATACATCGATCGTTAGCTGTCATGCAAAAACGTATGTAAGAAAGGGACCTTGAGCTATAAGATAAAATATATATAAGTAGATCTGTAAGTTCTTACTCAGCCTTAATATAACATGATACCAAATACGATGTATTGCCCAAGATACACTGCACCAAATGCATGTATAAATAAAATTCAGTGATACATATCAACAAAACACTCAAACAGCATTTCATTTACTTTTTCACCATGCCGAATGAATAGAAAAGAGCATTAAAATAAAACAACTAAAGGTTATTGCAGAGTTCAGTTGGGAATTTAAAAAAAAAAATTACTTTACATAAATTTACATGTAATTCTCTCCAATATAACAGACAATATATAAATTAAGAATTACTTACAATTCACAAATTATTTTTTGTCCTACCACAAAGCGTGGTAAGTTTCACGAACTATATCTAGTATGGAATACTAAAAGGAAATTAACCAACTCAGAGAACTACTGCACATGCCACACCCAGAAAACCTTTATTTGAGATCACTATCCACGTTATGCATATTTAACTTTATGCATATTATTTAACTTTACACACGTTATGCATATTTCTTAAATTAATTTCAATCTCTTTTGGTTTACTTATTCTGCTGAAAGCAGACAGAATAGTAGCAGTATAGGATAGCTTTTAACATAATCAAAGCGTGTTAATTAAAATAAATCATACGCACTTATGTAAATATATTGTATACATGAAAGAGGCTGTATTTATTTGATGCCAAATTACGATTCCAGCTTTCAAACTATAATATTAAATATTATTACTGGAATATATCTCGTTAACTACTAAACACAATATATTATTAGATACAGTAAATAATTTCCATGTTTCTTATTTATTTTTCCTGAGTATGATTATCAAGGCTTTGCAAAGTATTTTAATTTCATTGTAAACAGAGATGAATCCAATGTCTCTCTTTCAGACAAAGCCAGGCGACAATTTTTTATAGCAGTTGTGAAATTTTTTATAGCAGAAAGGAATATTTGCGTCATTGCGCGTGCATGCTACGCTTGTTTTCTGCCACCTTTGATAGTTACAATTAATAGGCTTTGCTTTATTTCCCTGCTGACATTTTGATTTTGACACTCAGTTTAAAATTACTGAGGCAGTTTAAAGTATTTAAATTATGTAGTCTTCATTTACTATTTCATATCTTATCTTAAATTTGAATGTTCCTGTTTAGTTGCCTCACCATGAGTTGTGGCTGATATGATTAACCCAACAAAGTGCTTTTATGTTCAAATTCTGTCCAATAAAAAGGTTATTAAAACTTCTTTATGACTTGTTGTTACTTCAGATCTAACGGTAATTCGTTTCACGTTTCATGAAGTTATTAGTCGCAGATCAAGTAAAAGCTCAAAAGTGGCCCTGAACAGATTACGGAAAATATCGCAAGATAAGGCAACATTTAGTCTCGCTCCCCTCAAGTCATGGAATAATTCGGATTCATCATTGATACAATGCGAGCGTCAATGAAATAAGCAACAACGCTTGATGGCAGAAGGTCTGTGGTGGCCTTTCTGGAACAATTAAATTTCACACTTCTATTTTATCCAGTTCCGGAAGCACAGTAGGACACAAATGCGACAACCACGCTTCCAGGACTGGCACTAGGCTGGTAAAAATGCATCGGTAAATTTTTGTTAGGTGCACCAGGCAGTGAAAGGTTTACGTTCGAAGTATTTAAAAAAGCTTTCATGAAAACATTCGTCGTGGTGAAAAATACATCAAAATTAGAAGTTTGGCAGATATCAGACTACGGCTATAGAAGTGACTGAGTGTATTTCGAGTAAAATGCAAGTTGAAAACTTATCATATGAGGGGAAAACCCGATGTGGAGGTTGTTCAAATAATCCTACCTAGGTTGTTGAGTTCATTCAGGATATTGTTGAATTAAGAAACACAAGTACACTAGGCCAGTTATTTGTTATTGAACAGTTGTAATAGTTATACCTGCACTATACACACAAAGTCCATTAAACTGAACTGAGAATGTTCAAACATTTCTTTAATAACTTCACAAATTTATTTCAGGAATTGGATAAATTCTAACAACGAGCAAACTAGATAAATTAAAGCAAAGGGCATGATGCAAAATAACAGATGCTGAGAAAGACATAGCTATATAAAATTCGAAAGTTTAATGAATTTTGTAAAAGCTACCTACACTGATATAATTTAACAAGCGTTCATGCTAACGAAAGCTGAAAAAAGCCTATTTACAAAAAACCAATATTACATGGTTAGTATGATTGTTAAGACATTGTATGTCTCCCAGACGATGCAATACAACGCCTAGGAATGCTGAGTATCAAATTACCGATCTGATCTCTGGGGATAT